CCCGTTAGCTTCGAGCTAGTGGGTGTCAGATCTCCAAAAACGTCAGAGCTCTTTTGCAAATATGTGATGTCTTGTAAACCGAGCAGGTATCTGACGTTTACACAACTACATTCACGCCTCAAAATATCTTAAAAGTGTATTTTGTGACCCAGAAAGAGTAATATTACAACTAAGTAGCTGCCGCCAGTGTTGGAGTTTTGCTTGTATACATCTATCATTCTACTTCTTTTTGCAACCTACATTTGGCTAGCTCTAGATAAAAATCAGTCAATCAGTAATAAACCCATCACACAGCCTCACTGACATGAAGCGTCTCTGTACACAGTTCTCACAATTCTACATATTGACTCACTGGCAGTGACTGCAAAAGTCACGTTGGTCAAAACAAGCAAGCACCACAGACAAGAAGATTTTATCTGCCAACGCTTGAAGGCATGTGCCTGTGAACTGAAGCATTCATGGTCTGACTCATGTGGTCAAAAACAGGGCGAAGATCACATGTTTGAACAGAAGAACTGAGCTGTTCTCACAGCATGCAAGAAGAAGGGGTCCGAGCCCAACTCCAGCCAGACTGCTAAACCATCTGTGCTGCCTCTTTCAGGACATATTCTCACATGTATGTAGAAGGTCTCACAGCCAACATGTTTATGGATGACCTACCCTCAGAAACACAGGCCTGCAGGGGAAGCAAAGGCCTGAAATGACAGTGAGCAGCAGGAACCAGTAAATCTTTTTTGAAAACGTACTTTTAGGTAGAGGTGGGCGGATCGATCCAAATATCAATAGTATCGACACCAACGCTGGTATCGGTATCAGAGCAATACTAGAGTGACAGGGTCGATAAATGTATGTATATATACTTTTTTTAATGAAAGAATACACCTCAAGCATGCACTATGAACAATGTCTGAACCTCTGTGTGTTGATTGTCACATCTATTTATAGCCTATAGCACATTCAACCAACAGAAGCTGACCCAAAGTGCTTTACGGGTGGGCACATTTATATTCCGGGTTTCAAAGTACATGAAAAGCTGAATAGTGTTTTTTGTTGTAATTACTAATTATTGCAGTACGTAATCACAATCACAGTAAATCACAGTGATTTAGTGGTCAACAAATGTGTTCAAAATGAGTAAATTAATGATGATACATCTCATAAATCACGACACACTGCTCGTCCCTAAATAAGGTGCCTTTACAGGTTTAAAAGTATCGGCATTGGTATCAGCATTTACTTGGTATCAGATGGATACCAAGATATGCAGTATGACACAGCACTACTTTCAAGGCTGTGCTATTGTTCAGTTTTCATTTCAGTCACATGACAGGCTGTGACACATTTAATCCAGATCACATTCATGTGTTTAGCCAGTTTATTCAGTTGAATTAAAACAAAGTTTCACAGAAACTAACCAGGAAGTCTAACAAATCTGATGCTTTTACAAAGTCTCTGTTATACGATCATGATCTCATTAGTTAATGAGCAAGCCTGCAGACAGTACTGAACAATTAAAATAAGCCTGATCACCTTGTGGAGTGTTGCCTCTGTGAGGACTCGGAGTGTTCGCCCGGACCCTCTTCCTAACCGTCTCCCCAGAAGCCCCCTGCCTCTGCTCCTCCTTCGACTCCTTGTCTCCTCCATCCTCCATGTGGTCTGCCTCCTTTGGCATTCTGGAGTCTGCAGGAAAACAGGTGACATGGAGATTTGAATGTGCAGGGATTTGAAATCTGAGAGTCTGCTTTTAAGAGCCCAATCACTATGATACAGCCAGGTCTTTGTAGAAGGGTGTATAGCAGGGCTACACCAGGAAGCAGTGGCTGTCACGTGAAAGGACCTCACTTAAGAGCACAAAGAAAAAGAGATGTGCAGATTTGATTCTGTGGTGCTCAAATGATGACATCATCTGGACTGGTAGAGGATGAGAGAGCGGAGGGGGGGATCCGTGTGGCAGTGCGATGCTAAGACTGAGGAGGTGAAGTAAACAGAACAAAGCCTCATGGGTACTGTGGCTGTCCTCGCAGGCTTCGGTAACGGTACTAACCTTGTCCTCGGCAACCCCGGGGGGAAGAGACGCGTCTGATGTGGAGCTCAACTTATCTAACGTTAGCTTTATAGTCAGCGTGAACGCCGCTTTCTGTTTAACAATAACAACACAACAACAAAGCTTTATGACACCGCTACTCCTTCATAACCCAGACACACGTTTATTCACAACTTCACCGCCGCCAGGCACCGCGCTCAGGAGAAGAAAGGCTTTGGTTTATCCTCGGAAACTCCAGCTTTTTTATTTACGTCGCAGCCCTCCTCTGACGGGTTGCCGCTAATCAAGAGACGCTTCCTGGATTGGGTGGGGCTAGCGTGACGTAACAGCCGAGCCCCCCCTCCCAAACGCACACACACACGGACACAGCGGCAGAAACGTTACATTTATTAGGGCCCGAGCACTGAGAGTGATGGGTGACATCTGCAACTCAAATTTCTCTAGGAAAGCTTTAAGGAGTTGGTCTTTGGTTACAGTGAAAAGTGTGAGTTTTTGTTAAGGGTGTGACCCCAGCAGTATTGATGAAGAAAAAAATTAGTATAAGTCAAAGAAATCCAGTCTGATCAGTACCAGACTTTTCAGGCGTGATGACAGACCTGCCCTGAACAGATTGATATGCCCATTGTCAGGAATATGCAGAGCGCCACCTAGTGGGAACAGGAAATGTCATGTCTTTCACTTTGATATACTGATTATCACAGGTTCATCAGGTCCACCTCAAAAGCGGTGAATATTAACTTCAGTCCCTCATGATGCTTCAGTGAGAAAATTAGGAGTTGGCCCACTCCTCTAATGTCATGAAGGCTTTCTTGTTATGTGATCATTTTCATGGAATATTGCAAAATGGCTCAACAGCGCCCCCTACAACATTTAAAAACATCAGCCTCTGCTCTGTGTTTCATCTATGATTTTGAAACCTGGTAAGCTTATGTAAGCTATCAAGATGTACAAAAATGTCTCTTGGAGCAATATCCCAAATCCAACAGGAAGTCAGCCATTTCAAAATTAAAGTGTCATTTTGGCGACACCTTCCCTTCTTTTCAGACCTCGCACAGGGATTTCATTAGATTGACTCGATCTCCAGTGCAGGGGATCTAAAGACCTTAATGATGTTAAATTGCGAAACTTTTTACGTTCAGGGAAACGGGGTGGTCATGGCGGCACGTGGAGTTTCAATCACTCGCCAAAAAGCATTAATCTGCTGTCACTCAGAAACCAAGTTCAGTCTCTCCCAAACTTCGTATGTATGAGTCGAGAGTCAAGCTCGGAAATATTTGATATGCCATTTGTCAGTAATAGTTAGAGCGCCACCTAGTGGGACGACTATAATCATCATTGAATGAGATGAAATTTTAGCTGGTGGTTCTACGCATGAATTCCATCCATGTGACATAAGATCGGACATGCTGGGTGTAGGTGTTGGGCGTGTCTCGATGCCCTGGGGTGCGAGGACCCTCAAAACGCTGCTCGCAGCTTTAATTTGATTGTAATTGTCTAGCTGCTCAGATGTGAAGAAGAAGAGTTTCCTTCTCAGACATTTCCAAATAGATTTGATTTCAAAAGAACAAAAGTAAATTTTACATGAATTTCTTCTTTGATAGACAATAACTGGCCTTCCTATACATTCCTATATATGGATGGTAGAAATACACAAGAATGTTACAAAATATCCGCTAAAGGAAGTGATAAGGTACAAATATTTTGTTACTGTACTTAAGAGGAATTTACAGGTATCTGTACTTTACTTAAGTATTTTTTTTTCAACCATCTTTTTTACTTTTACTCCCTACACTTTTAAACAAATAGCTGAACTTTTTACTTAATTTCAGAACAGGCTCGCTACTTTAGGTTCAAAGGTCAAACTGGTTTGAGCCTAAATGGGGGTGGGGGGTTGTCTCACACAAAGGGATGAAAGAGCAAAAACATAAATTATGCATAATTTATAACGCTATATAAGACCTGTTTTACTTTCTTACTTTGAATACATTTCAGAGCTTGTACTTTTTCACTTGAGTAAAGAAGTTGAATCAGTAACTTTCACTGGAGTATTTTTTAACACAAGTATCGGTATTTCTATCCAAGTAAAGAATGTATGTACTTTTGCCACATTTTCAAAAGATACACTTCTCACCTCATTGTTTGAAACACCTGTTCAGCTGATATATTTAACTAGCCAGCACCATGGCAGCAACTTAATGCTTTTAAGTATGCAGACACAGGGAGGAGATGCTGCTAAAGTTCAAACTGAGCATCAGAGGAAGAATGGTGATTTAAGTGACTTTGAATGTGACATGGTTGTAAGAGCCAAAAGGACTGGTCTGGGTATTTGATAAACTGTTGATCTATTTAAATGTTTCCCCACATTACCATCCATTCTAATATTATATCCAATTTGCTGTACAATGAGGTTGAATGCCTTTTGGAAAACAAAAACATACATGCTGATTGATATCAGACGTGTTACGTGTAACAGATTTACAGAAAGTGAACATTGTTTTTGAGCAGGATATTTTAATGCAAACTCACTCCATTGTTATGAAAGTTTGGAACCACCCCCTCAGGTTTTCAGTCAGAAAACTGATCTACAGAGAACTGAGTGTGAATGAGTGGTTTCGTTTTTTTGTTGTTTTTTAAACTCTTTAACAGAGTTAAAAAAACAAAAAAAAAAAAAAACCCCTCTTGAAATATTTAAACAGCTTAGAGTCTAACACATATACTGCTTAGAGTAGAAGTTCCCAACGTGGCCACCTCAGGCTCTCTTCCAGAAACCAGTTCATTGGCAGAATATACTTGCAAAGAGCTGAATGTTTCACATTTTACAGAGATGCATTTGAGATTTTGTAAACAAATTGACATTTTATTCAATAGTAAATACACATACATGCTTGAGTATTCTTCAATATTTATACATTTGATATACAGACAAACTTACTGTCAGTCAAAAATGCATCTGTGGAGATGGTTCACTTTTGTATAACAAGCAAGTAAAAAGGCAAAAAACACTTTAAAGAAAACAGCAGAGACAAATCTGCACAGATCTACAGCACACTGAAGGCAGAGTCACCAAAGTACTGGTTAAATATTTCTGGGTGGGAAAGGTGAAACTGTCTAAGAAGACGCTTTTTCTCCTTGGCTGAGATCTTGGTATCCAGGTGGATGTTGTTTAAGAGGACCCACAGCGCTTGGTTGGTGGTGGTTTTTGTAGAGCTTTGTAAAGTGTTCCTGTCAACCTGCTGACAGAATGTAGAACCTGAAGAAGAGAGAGAAAAAAAACCAAAAAAAAAAAAAAAACAAAACGTTAAAGGAAATGAACATTGCATAATTGCCAATTTAATGTAACTACAGACCTCCAGTCTCAGCTGGGAATAAAGTGATCTGGAGATTCTGCCACCACTAGGGGGCAGTGAAACATCAATAACCTACACATGATGTAGACCAATTTATGAATCACAACGGACGAGGAGAACAACAATAAAGAGGAAAATTTAATTAAAATTGATTTGAATCGAAATGTCTGGATATTATTTAGTTTTTTCTGCAGATTATGGTCTCCACCAGGGAGCATCTGCTCTTTAGCTGCATGACCTCTTAGCCGTTCTGGCCAGTTAGTCTATGGCAGATCCAACAGTGCTCATTTTTCTTAGAATAGAGCCTCACTCTGTGGAGATGAGGGAAATCTGCTGTTGCAGATATTCAGGATGCCACGCCAAGAAAATTACTGCATGTTGAAGAAACTGTTTCACTCCATCAGTAATTAAAGATTTTTGGAAAGACTGTCATAGTAATACACAGTCATAGTGAGAGAATTTTAAGAATTTAGAGCATTGAAAGATCGCTTATGTGCGACCTGTTTGAGTTAAAGAAAGACTTCATGTTAATGTTAAAAGATAAAAGTATTTTACTGAATTACAGATACCATTCCTTTTGTGTTTTGCAGTGAGATGGAATTGTGCGATCTGTTCTGGAGTTTCTCCATCTTAAAAGGAAACTGATGTTTTGTGTCATTTACCAAAAGTAATCAAAAGCCATTTACCCGTCACATCCGGCTGTTTCTCCTGTACGAGGCAAGCCAGCTTGTCACTCACTACTTTGTGCAGAGCCCCAGGTATCTGGAGCAGAGAAAAAATAAAAATTTACAGAACAAAGCTGCGCATAATCCATGAACACCCCCCCCCCCCCAAAAAAAAAAAAAAAAAAAAAAACCCCCAAACCACAGTTTGTATTTAACCCATTCATATTTTCCCCACATTGTCTTCCTTTGTAATATCTACTGCTTCACAGCACCCCAAGCGAACCTTCGAGACACATTCCCATTTACATCAGTGTCTGCTGTGTGGCCACTTGTGTACAGCTTTTTTATAATTGGCATCTCTTCTACTACAAGTCAAAAGGGCCCCATGCAAACACATTTTAAGTTGTTGGACAAGCCGCAGATTTACTTAGCAGAGGTTACCAAAGAGAATATTCTAGATAAAGTAACTGATTACATTAAGGATGGCCAACTACAGTAGGTCATCCTTAGCGGTGGTTTGAGTGACCGGATCACAATGGGTTTAGTTCATATGTACAAACATTTCTTGCACAAATCTTTGATCATTTTTTCTCCCTGCTTTTTTGCTGCACTGGGGCAAGAAATCAGGCAAAATAATTCATCATCACTTTCTCACACAGACCAAAAGCATTCTATTACCTTGAAGATTTCTTTAACATTGCTTAGCATAAAGACCAATAGAAGATCTTCCTTCTCTTTGGAGAGAGCCTTGCTGTGTAGGATCGCCCTGGAGAAAGACCTCTTCACTGCCAGCCTGTTCTCAATCTACAGATGACAGAGCACATTCTTTGATGTCAGACCCCCCCCCAAAAAATAAAATAAAAACACCACTTGCTCTCACCTCCTTGTCCACTTTAATCCCATGTGGGTCAGCTGCCAGAGACACGAAGATAAGCAGCCTATGGAGCTCATCTCTGCAGCTGTGCGGCAGCAGCTTCAGACACAGTTGCAGAGCCTCGAGAGCCTTATCCAATTTAGCATTTACTGAAAAGGTGAGAGAATGAAAGAGACAGTTGTGCTGCAAGTGGTGAGGTTATTAAAAATCTTTGGAGGAGAAGAGAGCATGGTTGGAGACGCGGTAAAAATCTCACCGTCACGTCTGAACCAGTGTTCTTACCGAGCAGCTCTGTGATGGCTGTGTAGACGTCAGTCATGTGCTGCGGCAGAAGTGGAAGCCTGTTTGTGATGCTGTAGTGTTTGACCAGAGTCCCATATAGAAGCAGCTTACACTGGGCCAAGCCACTTGGGGAGAGATG